ACACATATGGTGCAAGCATTTGAAAAGTTCATAGCCTGGCAAACAGAGCCCCGCCATTCACATCCAAGTGAGCGGCTGAGACCATCCCATCTGTGAGCAAAGTCCTTGGGCTGGGGTTTGTTCTCCCCTTCCCTTTCTTTTGTTCTCTCTTCTGTTTCCTTTTGCTTCTATTTATTCACTTATGTATTTATTTCCCCTCTTTTTTTTTTTTTTTTTTAATAAAGTAACAGCATTTCAGGAAAATTGTGCAGACAGCAGATTGATAGCATTTTCACTATCTTCTTCTCATTAATATTGATTTTTTTCATATTTTTTTCATACTTTGTTTCTGACAGCACACATGACTCTTTTAAAAAAATCCTCTTTTCATTTTGCTGCTTTTCATGAATGGGAAATACGTGCTCAACTCTGAGCAAAACGTGCACTGCTGATGGCTAATTGCTGTTATCTTGGTGTGACTTAGTTGTCTGACACTCCTAAACAATTGCTGCAACTTTCTCACCAAGATCTGAAACTGAGAAAAAGGTTTATTGAGATGAAATTGTATTTACTAACTTAAATCATAACATGCTGCATATTTTTCTAGAGTTCAAATCTTGTGTAATACTTGGACATTATAATGTGCTGCGTAATTAAGGATAATAAGATTGCAGATTCTTGGGAAATAAGTGAGAGAACTGTTCTGAGTGGTGAGAGTTTGCTCAGTGCCAGTAGGCATCTTAATTGTCACAAGCCAAACAAAAGGAGAAAGCCACCACAAGCAAGGGAGCTGCAATTCAGCAGCCTATGGCTTGGGCAGGTACACTCTTTGCTGGGTGAAGAACTGGCTGGATGGCTGGGCCCAGAGAGTGGTGGTGAATGGAGTTAAATCCAGCTGGCAACCAGTTGTGAGTGGTGTTCCCCAGGGGTCAGAACTGGGGCCTGTCCTGCTTAATATCTTTATTGATGAGCTGGATGATGGCATTGAGTGCACCCTCAGTAAGTTTGCAGATGACACCAAGTTGGCAGGAAGCGTTGATCTGCCTGGGGGTAGGAAGGCCCTACAAAAGGATCTGGATAGGCTGGATAGCTGGGCTGAGACCAATGGGGTGAAGTTCAGCAAGACCAAGTGCCAGGTCCTGCAGTTTGGACACAACAACCCTACAGGCAACACTACAGGCTTGGGAAAGAGTGGCTGGAAGACTGTGTAGAGGACCTGGGGGTGTTGGACAATGCTTGGCAAAACATGAGCCAGCAGTGTGCGCAGGTGGCCAAGAAGGCCAGTGGCATCCTGGCTTGTATCAGCAATAGTGTTGGCAGTAGGAACAGAGAAGTGACCGTCCCTCTGTACTGGCACTAGTGAGGCTGTACCTTGAGTGCTGTGTTTAGTTTTGAGCCCCTCAGTACGAGAAAGACATCAAGGCCCTGGTGTGTATCCAAAGAAGGGCAGCAGAGCTGTGAGGGGTCTTCTCCCAGGTAACAGCAATAGGATGAGTAGAAATGGCATCAAGTTGCACCAGGGCTTGTTCAGGTTGGATATTAGGAAAAATGTCTTCATTGAAAGAGTAGTCAGGTGCTGGAACTGGCTGCCCAGGAAGATGTCACAGTCGAGTCACCATCCCTAGAGGTGCTCAAGAAACATTTAAGGACATGGTTTAGTGGGGAAATACTTGTGGTAAGTGGACGCATGGACTAGATGATCTTGGAGGTCTTTTCCAACCTTGATGATTCTGTGATTGTATGATTCTTTCCCTCACTCCAGAAAAAAAAACAATCTGCCCAAAAGTAGCCAAAGTGACCAAGGTCAACCCAGAGGGTGCCTTTTCTCTGGACCACCACATGCTTGTAAGTGGAGTGTCCTCAAGGGGACACACTGTGCCCTCCTCTGCTGGACTTGAGGTGAGGAACTGCGTGCAGCAGACTAACAGCAAAATAAATCCCCTTTTGAGAGCTGATCCACTGCTTACAGCATAGCTTTTCTTCCAAGATTGAAAAACACGTTCATGCCATTCTTTTATCTGCGCACAGCCTAGAAATCATAGCTGATTTAGCATTGCAAAACCCTAATGTAAGAAGTGGCAGTGAGGAGCAGTGGATGAGATGGAGAGGTTCTGGGTTCTAGAAGGAGCAGGTGGTGGCCAAGGCTTGAGGTGAGGGGATTGTATCAAGGAGCTGGGCAGCTGGGAGGTTTTTGGTAGGTGAAGTTTTCTATAGCTGTCAGCAAGCATTGTCTGTGTTTGCTGCTTCACTCGCAGCTCAGTACTTGAAATGGAAAGATAGATTGATTGGTTTTGGAGCGCTTGTAATCGATACAGCACATTTAAATGAATATTGTGGCTTTCCACTTAATTAGAGGTGACTTGGGTGGTTAGTATTTCAGATCAGTAAAATGATCGTGTCAACGCTGTAATTTCCTAACAATGGGAATATAACCTGATTTTCTGGGCCTTACTTTGTTTTATGAATCTGCACCCTTATTCTTGCTTTTGCTTATACTGTTTGATTTAGAGAGTAATCTTTGGGTTTTTTGCAGGCTAAGACTGAGCAGGATTTGTTGCTGAGCAAAGCTTGAAATAAAAGCTTAACCTGCAGATGAAACCCTTGTATTTTCTCACAGGGTCACAGAATAAGAGCAAAGTAATTGCACAGAGCACTGCAATCATGCTCAGGCACTTAAGCACCGGCAGTCAGTTCATGGAGCTGTGAGGCAGCACCTTGCAAGCTTCCACCAACCTCCAGTACTCCCACTGGCTGCTGCCATCTGCAGTGTTATGGAGAAAACAGACCTAAAGCCTCCTGCTGCACTGCCCTTACTCTGGGCTTTGCGTGTACCTTGGCATTTAATGGCACCCAGATGCTGAGGTGGATGTGGCTTGGCTCTGCTGGAGTTTGGAGTGCGTTGGCAGAGGCACTATCTGCAAAGAGAGGAGCTGATAAATGGACCCAAGGAGATATACAAAGATAAACGAGCTCTATAACCCTTGGTTTTGTCCACTCGTCTCTAATAACATTGCAGGTGTGGTGAATCTGCATGAGCACCTCCACAGGAAGCTGAGCATGGTGAATATGTGCCTCTTGCACACTTCTTTTTTTAATTTTTATTCTGTCATGAGGCTACTTAAGCATTGACGCCTGGCATTTAGCTGCCAGTGGAGCCTGGAGGTCTGGTTGAAAGAAGACATTCTCCCACTGTCATCCACCCTCGTGAAGCCATACCTCATTTTTGGAGCGCAAGTGTGATGGGGAGCAGCTGAGGGAACCGAGGCTGTTCTGTCTGGAGAAGAGGAGGCTCAGGGGAGACCTCGTGGCTCTCTGCAATGACCCGAAAGGAGGCTGTGTGAGGTGGGGTCAGCCTCTGCTCCCAGGCAACAGCCATAGGACAAGAAGGAATGGCTTTAAGCTGTGCCAGGGGAGGTTCAGGTTGGATATTTGGAACAATTTCATCTCCAGAATAGTGCTGAGACACTGGAATAGGCTGCCCAGGGAGGTGATGGAGTCACTGCCCCTAAAGGTGCTCAAGAACTGTGGCACTGAAGATGTGATCAGTGAGCATGGTGGGATGGGTTGGGATTGGACTGGATGATCTTAGAGGTCTTTTTCAACCTTAATGATTCTATGATTTTATGATTTGGTTGTGGATAAAGGAGTCTTTATACATACTTCTAAAAGTAGGTAAATAGGAGATAGATGTGCATGAGTCTCTGCATATACAGAAGTCTTTATTGGCAGATCAGCTAATTGGCCAAGAACCCAAGATAGCAGCCCAGCTGCTAGCTGACTGCTCCTGCCCTTGTTTCACAGCTGGAAATTGCATTGTTCCCCAGATTGTGCCTGTGTCTGAGAGAAGGAATGGAAATGAAAGGAGGAAAAGGGAGAGTACAAAAGAAAAAGATCTATTTTTTCCCATTTTGGTCTTTTTTTAATTGCTGACATTTCAAAATGAGAAACACTCCAATTACTTCTCAATGGTATGCTGGAGGTTTTGAGTGGCTCCTGTTGGTATTTAGATATGCATAATGGTGGTGGGGGATCTCATTAGAGGGTGGCTGGTTGCGGCAATGTTGTCCCAAGGAGCTGTGGTCTCTGGGGTAGCAGAAGAGTTTGAGGACAGCAGACAGACACTCCGTGCCATCATCTCCTGAGAAGAAAGAGATGAAAGTGGATCATTTCAAAATGGGATTCCTTCACCCACAGGTTATTAGGATGGAACCTGAAAGTGATGAGCAGCGGAGATGGGCGATGATGAGACGATGGCAACTTCCAAACCTTTCTTTCATCATAATAGCTTGAAAATCCTATGAAGCTGTGAAAGCTTTTTTTTCCTTTTTTTTTTTTTTTTGACTGATTTGGACTTCAAACCAGCTTTGTCTAATAGTTTATTTTGTAGAGTTGTCATCTTTTTCAGCCCTTCTTTTTCTGCCTCTCTGCTCCCCTCTATAACCTCTCTCCTCTGCTGATGTTATTCACCACTGTGCTCTTCCACATGTCAAGGAGTAAGGAACAGGGAGCAGAGAATGGGGCTCTTTTCACAGGCAGGGAGCACTGGCTGTACGCCCCAGCAGGACCAGATGTCTCCCACTGGCCCTCCTGAGACTGCTACAAGCAGGTTCCCAAGTCCATGGATGCCCTTTCAGTATCTAATGGGGGGCTCTAAGAAAGAAGGGACAGGCTCTTTATAGGGTCTGTGTGATAGGACAAGAGGAAATGGTTTCAAACTAAAACAGGGGAGATTTAGATGGGATATAAGGAAGGAGTTTTTTTTCCATAAGGGCTATGAGGCAATAGCACAGGTTCCCCAGAGAGGTGTTTGTGCCCCATTCCTGGAGACAGCCAAAGTCAGGCTGGACAGGGCTGTAAGCTCAGTGCAGGGGGGTAGGACCAGATAGCCTACAATGGGTCCCTTCCAACCCACATGATTTTATAATTCTATGATTCTATGTCAGGGCTATAGGAGATCACACAAAGTCAAACAACAGTAGATTTCACATCTGCTCACATCTGGTCTGCTCCCTTTCCCCAGTTCCTCCTGATGAAGATCTAAACTGCTGTTTACAGACTGAAGGCAGCCAAGTGCTACAAGACTTCCCTCCGGAGCGTGTCGCGTGGACCTGAGCTGCATTTCCATCTTGTGATCTTTCTGATCCCAGCACTTTTGGTAAGAATTAAATCATCTTAATTCTCTGGCAGCTGCATTTGCATGTATTGATTGCCGTAGAGTCGGGAACTTTAAATCGGCGTGAGTGATGGACGCAGTGCTGGCTCCGATCGATGCGGCACCTCTGAATGAATACAGTCATCTTACACTTAATTAGGGACAGTTCGACAGCTCTGTGGGGCTCTTTGTGCCAGGACAGGTGTCCCATGCAGCTCTTTGGCACACTGCATGAGTGGGTTCGATTCCTGTGCTCTGCAGTGCTGGGCTTAGTCACAGAATCCTCCATCGCATGTGGGGAAAAACACAGCTGAGCACTCATCAGGCATCTTTATTAAAATTTTATTATGTAAATTAATTGCTTACATAAGCACTGGCATAGCACATTGGAGCGCAAGCTTGGCAGATTCAGAAAATGCCTTTAATGCCTGTAATGTTGGGGTTTCTGTAGTTTGAATGTGTTTCCTCTCCCTTCCAGGAACTCCAGAGAGCACAGATGGGTTTTTCTTACCCTGGGAAAAAGTGAAGAGCAGAGAGGAAGGACACTCAACATGAGCCAAGGGAGGAGTCCCCAAAGCAGCCCACAGCATGGAGCACCTCAGTACAGCTCAGGAGCATGGCAGAGTTGAGTAAAGTCATGCCACTGCCATCACCAGCATACTTTCTGAGGTATATCTGACTCATGAATTCAGTGCAAGTTGCTACAGGTTTTCTCCAAATTCCTGTTAAACTGTTTCAAAAAAAAAAAGAAATTCTCTGTCCCTTTGCCAAGGAGGTATTTATTGATATTTATGCGTTTCTTTCTCCTCCTTCATGTGCTAATGTTACCCTGTGGAGACCCAGGAACTCCTCTCCTGCCTGCTGATGCATGTGCCATGCGAATGGGTGATTCAAAACCTTTCAAAAACTATGTTCTCAGTCATTTGTTCCCCATCTGCAGACAGAAACTCCAACCATGCTGCAGGTAACAGGATGCACACAATGGAGCAGAACAGCTCCAGTGTTTCTGTGTTAACTCCCACTGGGCGCTGCTTTGGGGCACTTGGCCTCCAAACCCCTGGCACTTCAAGGAAGAGCCCTTGCCACAAGAGCTGTGGCACTCCAGGCTCTGGTGATGCAGGTACAGAAGAAGGAGATGAAGTGGCCATGTGCTCCAAGGAAACAGTTGTTTAATAAATTAACAGGCAAATTAAAACAATTAAGCCACATTTCCTATTAGCTGCTCGCAATAATGAAGTTTGATGCTAACGAAATCAGGCACTCAGTATTTTAATCTTTTGTTTTTACATCTCCATTCTGGAGGAAAAGCTGTGGGAAGGCACGAAGAGTGACACAGGGTCAAGCTAAGTTCAGGCTCAGCTCAGTGTCATGATGCCAACTGCCTCCTTGGTGCTTAGGGTGGGATTTTTCCTTCCCTTCCCTTCCCTTCCCTTCCCTTCCCTTCCCTTC